ACAAACAACGTGACACGTAATTTATATATATAGTTGAGTGTCAGTCATTAATGACTGACGTGGCATTCTCAATGTGTTAAGAAAGTTATTTACTTTCATCGATCATAGTAATGTTTTCTTGCATAATTAGTTAGTACGAGTAACGAGAGTGTAAAAAAAGAGAATGGGGGTTGGGGGTGGGAGGGAAAGGAACTTGGTAAATGGAGGACAACGTCTATGAGAAATTTACACAGTTAATTTAACGTTCAGGAAGATGATCGGGATGAATAGAGTAGAATATAGTAGTTTCGTGTTTCTCTATAATGCTTCAAGGAATCGTCTGTAAAAGGTAAAACGAAGAGTAGGAAAGGGAGGAAGGGAAAGCGAGGAAATCGTAGCTAGATTATATCGATTCGCTTGGTGAAACATCGAAACGGCAAATTTATTTTGATTGTGAAGAAGAGAAAAGTTCTTTTACGTGAAAATAGTAGTAGGTTGGTCAATAGTATGTAAAACATCAACACAACTTTGGATTTCAATTTGTAATGTCATAATATTTTATATTCTTTTTCCTATTTAACACGTTCGTCGCCATTTCACCATATACGGTGACAGGTATGCTTCCTCGGGGGTTTCATCACCGCATACGGTGACGCTCTTCTTGTTGAAGTTATAGGATTTTTAGTTGGATTTTATTTATTATTATTTTCGGTAAATAAACGATATTTTTATATTTTATTATTTTCCATAAATAAAATATAATAATGTAATACCATAATACTCGGGTTGTATTATTGATATTTCTAATTATCGCTTCTTTACGTTAGGGCGCTCCGACAGTCGAATTTTGGGCCTGGCGAGAACGTGTTAAATAAATCTAAAATATATAGTATAGTATAATACTATATATAGTTTATTATATAAATAAATAGTATAATTATATATATTTAATAATATATATTTAATAATTATATTTATTTAATTTATTATATCTATATATTAATATATAATATGTGTTATATGCATATTTGCTATTTTTTTGGGTGCTTTTTTTCATGAATTGATGTTTTAGAAACTCACGTTGTTATACGATACAATGTGAGACAAAATTTTAATTAATTTTTAAAATCAACTATTTTTCGGACTCGTAATAAAACGCCGTGGGTATATAAAAGAAACTTTTGACCCTTCCTGTATATTTTCTCGTGTTGTTTATACGTAGGCGTTATTTCCTTCTATCTTTTTTTTCATGCATGTATAACAGTATGTATATTTATTTCTGTGTGTATGAGAGAAAGAGGAGAGTTCGTAACTACCAGCATATATAAGTGAATGAACGACCTCCCCGAGAACTGTTGTGTTACTTCGTAAACAACACGTTAGAAAGAGACAGAATGAAATATTTTTCTCACGATTCGTATATGTGTTAGTGTATACACCAATCTCGTAGTAACACGTTTCATGCGAATGATTTTATACGATATATAGAGATAATACGCTAACGGCTAAAAAGTTTGACCAGTTTGCACAAATCCTCCCCGTGCAAGAGAGATGAATGGTTTTGAACAAGTTTTTTACAAACTATTATTAAATATAAAAATAATTTCAATAAAAAATTTGTTTTTTATTAATACAATGATTGTTTAAATCTACACGTAATGTCTTAACAATCATAAATATTGAGAAACATTTCTGATTGTATTTATAGATGATTATAGAATGGAATAGATTATGGTCTGTGTGTGTGTGTATGTGTGTGTAGAAGAAAACAACTTGACAGGTATTTAGAATAGTCGGTCTGTTCAAGTTGTAAAGGGACTTCAAATGTTAAACGTGACTGCCTTTTCTCATTAAAACATGTAACACTACCAAGTTTCAAATCGAAGGACAACTTTGTGGTCCCATTCATTGCCAGATAGAAAGAGATGCAATATACTAGAAAACTACTACACATACATAACACCTACATACAAATAATTATACATATATACACGCTGCTAACTAAGCCGATACTAACTATACTATATATAGGTAGTAGCACTTACTATTTAAACGATACTCTTCTACCTGTTGCTTGCACAATAAAACTAATTTTACGCTAGAGAAGTTATGTGGACTTCTTCTACCTGCACGTTATATATATATATATATATAATATCATATTTTAGTGATGATATATATATATATCATCACTGAAAATCTAATAAGTTGTATCTTCGTGTCTTGTTATTTAATTATTCATAGAATTGTTTTTCAAGCTTGCATAAATTTTTCCCCCCAAAAAATTCAATTGAAATGAATTGACATGACAAAATTAAAATGACAAATAATTTCAAAAATATAAAAGTAATATTTGATTAATATATGATTTGTGTTACATATGTTGCAGTTACGATAACGTAGACTCCCCTAATTATGGTAGGCACTTGAACGGACACGGTTCACCCCCAGCTACAAATTCATCGTCCCAAGGGAGAGATTACCACGGGGGTGGTAGTGGTGGTGCATCATCACCGTATAATAGTCATCATCAACAGCATCATCACCATAATCATCATGCACAAGACGGAAGTTACCAGTATGGTAGATTCGATGCTAGTGCGTTACACATTGCGCATGCTCTCAAACAAACGGAACTTCAAAAGGGTTATAGCAAAGCTCGCGAGAAACCCATCGATTATTATCTGGTGAGTCATTGCATGTATTTGTATATGTCTATGTAATAAAATATTATACATGAATAAATATATGTGTGCATGTGTGTGAAGTACGTAAAAGACTAAAACTGAACGCGTAACGTGTTACGTTTGCTACGTGTGTATCTGTGAGTGTGTGTTACGTTCTTAGCACAAGAGGTGGTGGTTCGGGGGGTTGGGGGGGTTTGGGGGAAGGTTTGAGGAGAGCCTGTGGTCATCGCCGTATTAGGACGAGAGAGTTTACTATGTCGAGTCCCTCTTCCACTCTTCTTGCACGCGGCCTCCTTTTTATTTTCCATCAAGCAAAGTACTCTTCGTGTTTACGCTTACGACCATGAAATAATTCAACCATATTTTTTTTTTTTATTATTATATTCTTTTTTTTTATCTCTAATCAATCCGGTAGATCAGCTTGCAAACGAACAAAATATTTTAAAATTCATTAAAAAGATTTATTTATATGCTACTTTAATTATTTTTTAAATGTTCATTCATTAATTTTGTATTTGTAATATTCGAATTTAATATTAGCTCTAAAGATTAATTATTTAAAAAAATTAATACACATGTATAATTATTGTAATGTAAGTAGAATGCATTAAAGCATTAAAAACTGTTAATTAATCGATGCAAGTATCTATTGTTACTAAAAAACACGAAATGCACGTTCTGTAAACCTTCCCCGTTCGAAATTCACCTTCAGACTGGTAGACTGTCATCTATAAAAATTCTTTTGTAGGAACTTTTTTATATGACTTTCAGAACGTTGTGCATATATATAACGGGAATAATTTAATTAATTAATAGAATTTAAGATTATAACTTTATGATTTGATCATTTTTATTCATGTGCATATATTCTGACAGTTATATATACAACATTGAATAAAAGATTTGTCATAGATGGCAACGTGTCAGTCTGCAGGTGAATTTCGAAGTGGAAGAAGGTATTCCGATCATATACTTGGTGGTTTTAAACAACAATTCACACTTTTTACGATCAATTAACAATTATTTATAATATTTTAATGTACTTTAGTTATATTAGAATAATTAATGTACACGAGTTATATACAGAGTGTTCAGAAAATAATATTCAAAATTTTTATGGTATACTAGGGGTGCCCGTCACGCGTTGCTGTGACTCACAATCAGTGAGTCCGATACACACGTCTTTAAGTCAACGAATTACCTTATACCGCCATCTGTTAGAATCTTATCGAACTAACAGAGATAATCATGACCCTTTGATAATAAACAAATAATTCGCAATAAAATATATATTGCGATTATAAATTGAGATATAAACTATCCTATCTTTCAAGTTGGATGAAATTGCACATAGTGTGCAAAATTTTATTAAAATCGGTTTAGTAGTTTAGGAGTCCATTGCGGACAAACAACGTGACACATAATTTATATATATTAAGAAGATAGGATACACTACTGAATAAAAAATGTTTTAGTAAACATAGGTTGAATATTCAATCGTATCAAGGTATTTGAATTTTTTTTTTTATGTTAGATATATAATATATGAGAAATTTATTTATAATAGATAAAGAGAAGGAGAGAAAGATGATCTTATCCTGTACGTTATCTTAAACAGGTTCTGTATATTAAAACGCATAAATGTTTCTACTTGCGATTCTCTAGCGGTACTCTTCTTCTTTTTCTTCTTTTTTTTTTCTTCTTTTACCACACGCATAGTTTTCCCATTTTATAAAAACTATCGTTTGTTTGTTATATTCGCGTTATTTAAATATTACGATATATTTAATGTGTCATATTAAACGATAATTATAACAATTTTTTTTAGTCAAAACGAACGGATTGCAACAGAAATATTTTTCAATTTGATCGAATATATGCGATGAATAAGAGTTAATTTGAATATATAAGTTGCTTTTATATAATTTATTAAATAATTAATATAATATTTTATTTATTAATTAATTAATAATCTAATAAGTTGCTATATTTTCTTCTCGTAAGAATGAACCAAAAAAAAACAAAAATAGGAAAAAGATCCTAAGTAAATTTAGTCATTTTCTTTTCTAATATAATCCTATTTTTTTATATTATTTTTTTTTCTCTGCTCCTCCCACCCGTCGTCCGACTTGGAAAGATAAAAAAAAAGAAAATAAAAAGAGAAAAAAAAGCCGAAGATAAATCGTTCTCGGTGTGTAAACCGGTCCTGGAAGTTTCAAGAGAGTCGGACGAGCGTGTGGAATCCTACATGCGTTTCTCTCAGGAACTTTGAAAAGAAAGAGAAAGAGATATATAGACAGACCGAAAAAATGGCCGATATCTTCAGAAAAAAAAGAAACCCTCTTCAAAAAAAAAAAACAAAAAAAAAAGAACAAAATTCCACATCAAGTTGAAATGTTTCCGATCGGTTTTTGATGGAACTGGGAATGTGTAACGCACACACTTGACGCATACATACTCGAAGGAGGGTACGATGTTTACATGAAAATGAGTTTGCCGTTTTTCCCATCGTTCAAGGGGTCTCTCCTCTTGAAGAATTGCAAATGGGTAAGAGAAGAAGAAGAAGGAAGAAAGAGAAGGAGGAGAAGAACAAACCGCTAGTCGCTCTACTATCGAAACGTTTTCTCTTATAATCCGCTTTCGCGCGTGTTGCTGCTTGCTTGCTTGCTTGCTTGCGCATGCTTGTTCAGCAAAATACGATTTGGTGGATTGCCATTTTTGCGAGATATCTTGTAAATGCCATGAGAAGATAGATAAAGAAAGAAAGAAAGAAAGAAAGAGAGAGACACACCATACTATGTATGGGTATGCGTAGTACAAGGAAACGAAAAACAACGTGGGCCATCCCCTCCTAATGATTACGCGTGATACACAAGTGTATTACATTTTTGTTTCATTTTTTTAAGTTAATATCTAACGCTGGATATCCCATTCGAATGAGATTTCGATATATATA